TTCTTCTTCTTCTTCTTCTTCTTCTTCTTCTTCTTCTTCTTCTTCTTCTTCTTTCAGTACCCAGGTAGCTTCACAACAGATAAATAAACAGGGGAAGGAGACCACATGGAAATGGCTATGACATCCAGTCAGCTGAGTGTTTTCCTCCAGATTTTAATTCAGAAAATCATAACACGTAATAACAGGAAATTGCAAGGTACAATTTTACCAAATAATATCATCAATTGTGTTGTTGTTGTTTTCTGTCTACTTTAAAATACATTCTACACACACACGCCGTAAAAACCACAACATTCCAAAAAGTCTATAAAATCCAAATAATATGCTCTGAACTAGTTGTTCTTTGCAGAAACAGGTGAGAAGTTGTTATTTCCCATACATTTCTGTACCAATGCAGGGTTTTCCAACAGTGCTTTTCAATATAGTACAATAAAATGTGTTAATTTGACGCAGTATTGTAAGTGAAACAAAAACTATACGTGAAAGATGACACATACTTCTTTCCAAATAAAACTCCTGGCTTTTCTTTGCGAACAGTTTCATTTTTTTTCATCATACTGTACGTCTTCCTAATAAAGCTGACAATAGTTTTGCCTCGGCTTAGTTCAAGGCGGAAAATCATTTAGAGAAGCAGCAAGACAGCCAAAGTCCAATGCTTCTATTGTTTTTCGACCTAACCAAAGATCGTAGCATTATATTGGAAATGTCGGAGATACAAGAAAACAGGACAGTCGCGAATCTCTAGCCCTGCCCAGGTCAGACGCACTTTGCCGTCAAATCTATGGAATCATTTCTTTCTGCTAAAGTAACAGCTCTAGGCATGCAAGGAGTGCAGGAGCAGGGAAACATTCCTCTTAATCTTATTACTGTGAGGCGCAGACTGGTACGATCAGGATTTACATGAGATTTATATATATATATATATATATATATATATATTTATTTATTTATTTATTTATATTTAAACTAAAAAACTCCCATTAACGAATCCGAGATGACAGCGCCGTTTCCACAGGGCAAAACCATAGAGGCACATCAGAATCTCTCGGACTTCCAACACGAAAACGCCTGCCCACACACTATCCGTGCAATAAAACAAAAGAGTTTCTAGAAGGTCATAGCGCGAATGTCCTGGACTTGCCAATGTTCGCGCAGGACATCTCTCCAACATAGCACTACTGGGATCAACTGACCTGCAAAGGCCATTTTGCGAATCTGCACACATGTTTCTGGAATTCGCATTGACGCAAAAGAGGGACAGCGAATTCCCTAATAAAAACATTGAAAACGCTAAGAAGATTAAGATCCACATGAAGACGTATTTTGAACTGTATATTGTGCCAATAGGGCGACGCAGGTTAACTAAGGGTTAGAGATTTATATTGTGTTTCGATTTGTGCTTAATTAACTACTGCAAATTTGTCTAAAGGGGGTACTATGAAAGATCATGAATCGAAATCAGTTAAAGTGTGCTGTCAAAATGGTTCACATGCTTTGGAAAATGAATAATCTTCAATGAACACTTCTTTTTATGTACCATCATTTGATACAAATATGTACAGACTCTGCGAACAAAGTGTTGTGTTTTAAATGACGTTCAGTATGTGTGTGTGTGTGTGTGTGTGTGTGTGTGTGAGAGAGAGAGAGAGAGAGAGAGAGAGAGAGAGAGAGAGAGAAAGAGAGAAAGAGAGAGAGAGAGAGAGAGAGAGCGTGTGTGTGTGTGTGTGTGAGGTGTGTGTGTGCATGTGTGTGTGTGTGCATGTGTGTGTGCGTGTGAAAACGTGTGTGTGTGTATGTGTGTGTATATGTGTGTATGTGTGTGTGTGTGCGGGTGTGTGTGTGAGTGGAAAGAGACCCACTCAAGAAACTCAATGTGTGTTCGTGTGCATGTGTGGGTATGTGTGTGTATGTGTGAGCGTGAGTGTGTGCATGTGTATGGTGCGCATTGTCGAAGCCACGTTGTGTTTGGTTATCAGTATCAAGCAATATGCACCTCTTATTAGGGCACAGTAACGTTTCATAGGGACATGTGACATCTCATAAAGACATGTGTCATCTCATAAGGATGCGTCATTTCATAAAGACGTGACATCTCATAAAGACATGTGTCATCTCATAAGGATGTGTCATTTCATAAAGACGTGACATCTCATAGAGACATGTGTCATCTCATAAGGATGTGTCATTTCATAAAGACGTGTCATCTCATGAGGACGTGTGTCATTGGAGAACCCACCAGAGTACCTTGACCAACAGATGCGACTTGCGTCCATTAATAAATAAATAGATAAATAAAATGTTGTCTCATTTTATGGCGCGGCAAAATGATTCGTAGCGCAACTTATTGTCCAACATCCCATCCACTATCGAACAAAGACTTTCTGACTTTTGCGCAATGGTTTATTTCAATTTGCCACAACAGATCAATATTTTTGAAAACATTCGTTTGCTGTATTCTAAACAAAATTCCTTAATAAATACTAATTAAAAGCCCAGAGGGTGGATTCTGCAGCTTTTAAAAGGTTCACATCCCAGGAGCTGAGACAATAACAAATTTAATGGCAAGTCCATATTTTCTTCTTATCACGACATTGTACTTTTTGAGCGTATCTTTTGAGAACCTTAAAATGCATTATATTATAGAATTGATTTTTTTTGGTAACTAGATCTATTGGTGAAGTTTTAAAAAAAATGTTTTTTAAACTCCATTTTTTCAACCATGTGTGATTACACTTTATTATGTTTAAACCAAAGCACACTGGCACAAGCGCATGGCATTGAACTGGGGAGGCTTACACAGTTATTCACGTCTTTTACTTGAAACTTATATTATACTCATACAAAGAGAGTTGTTAGAGATAATCTTGTAAATATTGTTTTAAAGAATCATCACGCTGTTCTTTTTTTACTAAAAATGCAAAGTGGGGGAGCAGAATCCTCTACAATTTTACATGTCATTTATCAGAAGATAGATA